AAGCCAGTCGGATTGCCGCCGCCAAGGCAAAAAGGATGGCCTACAAGTCTTATAACCAACGGACGTACACTGTCACTACTCAGGGCCTTCCAACCTGCCCGCGCTGTCAACGCATCTTTCGTACATGCATCGGCCAGGTCGGTCACCTCCGGACGCCTTGCACCATCCCTCCGACGGTATCAAAGACTTCAACAAACGCTGCTGTGCCCAGCACTTTGACGACAACCACTCTAACCACGGATGTCCCGCTGTCCTCATCCACCGACATCACCTCACACCCTAATCTTCTCACCCCCACCGACGCATCACCGCCTCCCACCACCCTCACCACCACACCTGCACCATCTTCCAGCACTAGGGCCTCGAGCCTAACCTGCCTCACTGCAATCGCACATTCACCCCACGCATCGGCCTAGTCGGTCACTTGCGAATCCATCGCACAGAGACTGGTGAAATAGTACCCGGAGCACCAACACATAGAAGAGACCGTCGCCTCCACTGCCCCTGGCATTCATCCATTGCATGGGCTTACTAGATCACATGCGCATTCACGACAGCGGCATTGACCGCGATATCGAAACGCCCAGCACATCATACACACCCACCACTAGCTCCAGCGCCACCCACTCATCGCCTCGTCATCTCCAAGATAAGGATGCGCCTTCAAGCACGCCGAGAGCCTCCAGATAATCTCTTGCATTATTGCCCCCTAATAATAGTGTCTTCTGTATTAGTATTACTAAGCATGATTTTTAGGACTAGCATCAATAGAACTAGGATATTACTGCTATCAGTAGTAACTTAGCATCAGCTCTCAGGCAATTAAGTTTTATTATTTGCTACTCTTTTTCATTTGTAGGACTATTGCTCTTCTTGCCGTTTCTCAATCGCACCCTCAGCCTAGCCTTAGAATAGTATCGCTATAAGCAGCAATTTATTAGTAAATCCTAGGGAATCTCAGTCTTGTTATTTGCTACTTGGTGTCGTTTGTAGTACTTTTGCTTTATTGGTTACTGTTTATTCGAATTTTTCTATCGACTACCTACATTGCTGCATTTGTTTTACGATGTCTGAAGCGTGTTGTGCGCTCTACGGTTGCTATGAGGCCTGATAGCCAGGCGGCAATGAGTGGCATGGAGCAACTCGATAATCGATATCGTGAAAGTTCCATGCTCCTTGCCTAGTATGCACTCCTAATGTGAAATAGGCGGTAGTCAGAGCACGGGAGTGAGCTGACGCTGTAAGAGCGGTCGTGCAGGGAAACGTAGCGTGCTGAGCTGAAGTAGCGTTTCTTAGCGATTTATAGTAACCTAGATACCGGCTTTGCCCGGCTGTCACCAATGAAGGATCGATGCTGGAAGACTCAGTCTGACCTATCACCTACATTACTGTACTTTATCTCGACTTCTCCTGTAGTGGCGTTACTCAGTATGTTTACTAGTACTAGCAGCAGTAGCGTTAGAATATTATTTCTATCAACAAAACTTAGTACTAGCCCTTAGGCATCACCAAGCTTGTTATTTGCTCCCTGTTGTCGTTCGTAGCACTATTGCCCTTCTTGTCCTTAATGTTACTAGTACTATTACCCAGAGTTGAAATCACAAGAATCGTACCTTCAGCCTAGGCTCTTAGCATCAACACAAGCTCCCCCATCGAAAGCCTTTAGCACTCTCAAAAGATCCTCCGCTGAAAGGTAAGCTGTGTTTTCGTTCTCTTTTGTGTTTTCTCTCTCGTTTTACGTTCTTCTTTCTCCCCCCTCGCTCTCTTCTGTTTCTCCTCTCTTGCAAACCCGCTCTGCAATGCTCATCTCCGACTTTTTTCTTTTTAGCGCTGCACCCATCCCATCTCAGGCGACCGATCAGCTAGGCGGTGGCCTGATGCTGACGGTGAAAGAGGGAGTAAGAGGTCGACCCTCGGCGCATTTTTTCCTCGCTAAAAACAAGCTGATGCGCTTGAAGCTATCGCAGTGCGCTAGAAGCCGTGGCTTGAAGGGTTGCCAACTGGTTGGACAACTTGGACACCGCAGTTAGTCCAGTGTGTCTTGTTGTGTGGAGTGTCTTACTGCGGGCCGAGAGTCTGGCTCAATGGCTCCTTCTTAATGTGGCCTTTATTGCGCTCCCAGGCGGAAGCCTA